AAATACTTGAGAATTATTTCAATTTTAAATTATTTCATTTCTAATACTTAAAAATTTGTTTACCTTGCTTCGGTATCCTTATCCAAAGCGGATACACTGATAACCGCTGAACCAACGGATGCCGTTTCAACAACCGATCCAACATATAATTCTCTCTCGAAGTATGGTTCATTATCGTTCACATCCATCACTCGAATTGTTACATTCCCTCTTCCTTAAACAAACAAAAAAATGAATTTAAGAAAAAAAAAATTTTTTTTTCCTTGAACTTACGGTCAATTGATCAATCTTTAAAGTGTTGCACGAGAGAAATTGTGACGCAGAAATTTAAATTAAACAATTTATGTGGTGTGTTTTTTTTTTCCTTTTTTGATTGAAAGATAAAAATGATAGGAAATGCAAGAGGAAAATTTATGAAATATTTGCAACAAATGTTTCCAGTTAATCAATTAATCAGATTAAAATTAACATTATTTGAAATGAAATTTATTTGCAAAAAATTTACCTTCAAGTGATGGTATACCTTTGTCAATAGCTCGAACTTCAATAGTAAATTGTTTTTCAGACGGTAATTCACGATCCATTTTTCGCTAGATTAAAAAAAAAAATTCCATTTTTATGATTATTTATTTTTTGAAAAACTGATCGAATGTAATGTTTGTAAAAATGGAAGAAAGAGAGGATAAAAATTACCATTGCATAGATTTTTCCGTTACTTGGAACAATCCGGAAAACCGGTTCACCATCAATTTCCTTATTTATCACAATGCCATACTCAAGTCGAGCATTATCAGTGCGTGGATCATCATAATCTGTTGCTGTTACTGTCATCACAAACACACCTTCATCTGTAACTTAACTTTTTCTTTACAAATTCTACAATATTGAATTTAAAATTTTCTTCACATTTTGAAAAAAAAAATTTTTTTAATCTAAAATTGTAACATTAAAAATTTTGCTTCTGAATAAAATTTGCTGAATGCGGTATATATAATTATTTTAATATACATATTAAAAAAATTAGTTCTAATATTTCCAAAATTTGAATTCATTCATCTTCCTTTAACTTTAGTAGGCTGATTATCATTTACTAATATGATAATCCACATAATTCCATTTAATTTACATGCAAATTTCTAGAAAAAAGAGAGAAAAGTCATTTATTTTTTTCCTCTCCTTTTCCACTCTCAACTTTTGTTCAGCTTTTAGATTGTTGTTTAAATTCAAAAAAAAAATAAAAATAAAAATAAAATTAATTTCAAATACCTCCAGGATCACGATTTTCATCGATTGTTCCAAATAAATTGCTAGCAAATATTGGTGCATTATCATTAATATCACGTAAATTAACCTGAAAAGTAAATTAGAATTTGTGAAAAAAAAAACTCAATTTGTTAATATGATCAGGAATTAAATCTAATAAATTACAATCCATAAAATTCAATACTTAATTTGAAACGGCGAATAATTATTCTTATCTTTAATTGTTCATATTTTGAGTTCATTTCTAACAATTAGTTTTTTACACAATTTCCTTTGATTTTGTTTCTAAAAATTTATGATAAATGAAAAAAAAAAATTATTGAAACAAAAAAAAAAAATGTAATCGATTGAAGTGAACAATCTTATAAATACTATTAACATGTGAAAAACATTTTGAATTAATAGTCTAAATAATTGTACAGGTAAATAATTTACCTGTACATCAGCATAACCAATTAATCCATGACCATCTTCATCAATTGCCTGTACAATAAATTTCCATACCGATACACCGGCTGGTGGATCACGATCCAATGGCCGTATTACCTCAATATCACCGCTATATTGACCAATTCGGAAGAATTCACCAACTCCTTGTCCTTCCAAACGATAAACAATTTTGGATGAGTCATCTTGCTAAAACAATAACACTTGTTGTTATTGTTTTAGCAACAACAATACTTGAAGTATATATTTATCTTAATTGTAATTTCATCTAACAGATTATAATGCATGCAAATATTTTTCTTTTTTATTTTTAATAATATTTTAAGAATTCAGGACTAAAATTATTTCGTTCCATAAATTTATACATCAGGTAACTCTCGAAGATAACGGTAATTCGCGATCTTCTACTACAGTAACAGTAAGATCAAAAAACATTAACAGTATTATTTGATGTAAATTTTCACATAATTATTTTTTGAAATAAACATTAAATGTTATCAACCTTATCAGCATCAGTTGCTCTAACAATAAACAATGTCTTCGGTACATCTCGATCTTCCTCCAATATTGTAATCTCATATAAATCATTTTCAAACTGAGGTGCATTATCATTTACGTCATCAATGTACACATATAAATCCGTTGTAGCATTATGTTTACCATCCGTTACAAAAAGTTTCATATGATATACAGTTTCCTAAAGAAATTTAAAATATTTTCCAGCTTAAATTTAAATTAAAGAAATGTAAAATATTTCCCAACTTAAATTAAAACTAAAAAAAATCAAAATATTTTCCAAGTTAAATTTTAAAATTATTAGCCTAAAACAAAAAAAAAACGTATATTGTATGATAATATGCTCCGGAAAATACAATTATTAATTAATTTTCGAAATTTCTTCTTTGCTGTTTAATGTATTAATTTTATAAAGTGATTATTCATTCAGATGATTTTCTTTTTTTTTTTTTGCTCAATTCCAAAAAATATTGTTGGAAAATTTTTGTTAAAACCTTTTCATAATCGAGTGGTTCTTTAACAAAGAGCGCACCGGAATCGGTTCGAACTCCAAATGGTATTCGTCCACCGTGTACAGCATACAAATCGTATTTAAGATTTGGTACTGCAATTTATTTGCATTATTATCTGATTTTAATTCACTAAATTTTCATACAAGATTCTAACTCAATCTATCAATTAACTATCTTGTAGATTTCGAAGTTAACTTTAAAAAAAAAGAAAAAACTCACATCGATCCAAATCATAAGCTTTTACAGTGATCACATCTTCATTAATTTCCGCATTTTCTGTAATTCGAGCTTCGTAACGAGTTTGCTCGAAGTATGGAGCATTATCATTAATATCAGCAACAAAAATTTGTACTTTAACGATATCTGAAATGAATGGAAAATATGGAAGAATTGGAATCGAAATTAAAATG